ACACACACACACACACACACACACACACACACACACACACACACACACAAGCACACACACACACACACACACTGTGTGCTGATTTCCCCTCAGCGTTGAACATTATTCAGGTTAATGTGTTATTATCCTGTCTTTATGATACGCATATAAACCCTGCTTTAATAAACAGGATTATAGACACCCACTGAATGTGTTTATGAACAGCGTTTCACTGGAGCAGCGCCGTTATTTATAAATTATATAAATATATTAGTGAGCTATAGATGAAGATTAACACTGCTGATCCTGCTAAATGTGCAGATGACAGGGGTTATTTAGTGAATCAGTTACTCAGAGAGAGACTGATGTTGACAATATTAAACAGAAAGCATCACACATCACTGCAGGAGAAATGAAGAGCTGATGACTGATGTGAACATTAATGAATATCATGTGTAATGATCAGTGTGTGGAGAGTGGAGAGCTTTAGCTTTACTGTAAAACTCTGAGAGTGTTGATGTCTGTGGAAGTGGTGAATGTCAGAGACACATGGAGAGAAGATAATGGTAACGTTATAGCCTGGCAAGAACAAGTCCAACACACCATAGCAACTTCATAGCAACACTCTGACACCTGTCCAAAACACCATAGCAACCGCATATCAACCCCATAGCACTGTCCTGACATCCCAGTCCAGACAGAATAGATCTGCTGACACCCATCAAGAACACCATAGCAACACAACATTAATGCTGATCACCTGATCAGAACACCATAGCAACCACATAGCACTGCTCTGACGGATCATCCAGAACACCATGACACCATAGCAACACCACAGTAATGCTTTGATACCAGCCAAGAACACCCAAAGACCATAGCAACACCCCAGCAATGCTCTAACACCTGTCAAGAACAACACCATAGCAACACTGATGGGCCATACTGAACACCATAGCAACCAGCAGAGAACACCTAAACAACATTGTAATGCTTAGACACCTGCCCAGAATATCTGAATACCATAGCAACACCTCAACAATGTTCTGATACCAGTCCAGAACACCACAGCAACACCTCAGCAACGCTTTGACACCAGCCCAGAACACCGTAACAACACCTCAGCAAAGCCCTGACTCCAGTCCAGAACACCATAGCAACACCTCAACAACGTTCTGACACCAGTGCAGAGCACCATAGCAACTCTATAGAAACGACCTGACCTCTGTCCAGAACACCTAAAGACCATAGCAACACCTCAGCAAAGCTTTGACACAGGTCCAGAACTCCATAGCAGCCCCCCAGCAGTGCTCTGAGGAGTCCAGCAGACTCTGGTGGTTCTGGGGCTGTTCAGCAGCTCCTCATGCTCGCAGTGAGAGCTCAGAGTAATGTGCAGCTTCACTACAGTAAAACAGGATTACCGTTAATTACTGTCTCCTACACTTCTATTACAGGCTCCACATGAGTCGCTGCAGCAGAGGGGCTACAGGACCTGAATGAGACAT